TGGTGCTTTTTTTATACTATTTTGAGGCTAAAATGGGAAGTCTTTTATCTAATGAAAATCCAAATAGAAACAATTCCTTTTTAATTTCTAGATTTTTCTGTTGAGGAAGACTTATGATTTTCGAATTTGCTGCATATCTATTACTGTTCTTGTTGCTAAAAATGATACGTATTTAACCCAATACTTTGACACATATGGCAGAACCGTTCACTTTTAATTATTACTCTGGGGAACTAAACCCTGTCATTTTCCTTATGCTGAGCAGATCTATTCAAAAAGACCTGAAAACAGTCTGGAAATGGAATTGATCTTGGAGTTAGAGCAGGAACAGAGGAAGCCACAGCACTTGTGTGAGTGTCAGTTCTCAGAGCTGATCAGAACAGAGGTTCCTCTGTTTTTGTGTCCTGTCTTTGGCCATGTTCTACAGGGCATCACTTGGTACCATTGATGCCAGTTTGATTTTCATTGGTGTCTTTCTGGGGCTGAGGCACCTTCAGAGGGCAGTGCCACCAGGGAACTGAGTGTTCCTCTTCATTTACAAAACAGATAAAAATCTGCAGCTTTTGGAGCTGGAAATGTCTCCAAATGTATTTGATGTGTTTAGTCCACATACATTATGCATGTCCTCAGCTTCACCAAGGGCTTCTCAGGAGATGCAGCTATAACCACACTGCAGCCAACTGTTTATGCTTCCCTCTGATTAATAAATATACTCCAGAGAAGGCAATTTTAGCCTTCTGCCTTTGGACTCAGCCTGATCTCAGTAAACACTCCACGAGGTGCAAAGGACACTCGAGAGCTCTGCAGTTTGCAGCTGTGAAGCTCCTGTGCTCATTCCCTGCCATCCTGATTGAGATTTTAGGAAGAATTTCTTCACTGAAAGGGTTTTTAGGCATTGGAAGGGGCTGTCCAGGGTCCTCATCTCTGGAGGTGTCCAAGGAATGCCTGGACATGGCACTCAGTGCTCTGGGCTGGGTGACAAGGTGGGGATCAGGCACTGGTTGGAGTCAGTGATCTTGGGGTCTTTTCCAGCATTAATGATTCTGTGATTCTAAGAGCCTTTCAGATCCTTTGCAGATTTTATTTCTTTAAGAATCTGCTTGCAGAGTTCTCAGATCCCCACTGAAAATAGAAACCAGCAGCCTTGGGGATGTGAGAGGTTCAAACGAGGGCCGTGCTCTTCCCTTGCTGCCACAGACCAGCCTTGCAGAGGAGATCCCTCCCCACCCATTCCTGCTGCTCGGCATCCACTTCAAAAGCTTTTTTGGGAGCTAAGAAGATGCATTTATGCCATCCAGCATGGAAATTTGGGTTTGACCCTTAATACTTTGTAAAGGGTAAAACCTAGGGCGTGTTTGGTGCCTCATTACTGTGCCCAGGGACACACGACGTGTGACTGGAGCTCCTCTGGTGAAATGAGCTCCAGAACACAAACGGCTGTTCTGCTCTACATTGAAGCAATAATAATTTATGAATCTAATTAGGCTCTGGTTTGCAAGAATGATGAATATTCACATTCTAAATAGCTGAGAAATATTAAAAATGTATGACAGCTTTACTTGTGCCAGCTCTGAGGGTTCTGGGGAATGTTTTCCTGAATGTGCTGAGCTTTCTCAGCATCAATTTTGCCCCATCCCCGGAGGTGTTTAAGGCCAGATTGGATAGAGCTTTGAGCAACCTGGTCTAGTGGAAGGTGCCCATGCCCATGGCATGGGATTGGAACTTTAGTGTCCCTTCCAATGGCCCAAGAATCATTCTGTGATTCTGTGATCATTCAAGGGCTGGTCTAGGGAAAAGGGATGTTCCCCTGATGCAGGGCAGCACCTGCAAACCCAGGCACTGTGCCCCCTCCAAAATCAGCAGTGACAAGACTGCAGCACTGAAGGTTTTAGAGTCTCTGGGACAATCTGGTTCACTGCCATAGCCAATATCCAAGTCCTTTTCTCATATGTGCATTTTTAAGAACTGGATTTCTTAAAAGAGAAGTTAAGGATAATGTTTTCCTGGTAACCTCCCCCTATTGCTTATCTTACTGGTCACTTTGGAGTTTGTATATTTGAGCTGGAAGGATTTGATAGCTCCTTTTGCATTTCATATTTAATTTTGTGCCTTTTACTCTAAAAAAAGCACATGATCAGCAGTCCTGCTGCCCTTAATAAGGTGTTTAATTTACAAGTTCTAAGTTGCCTATGGAGCTCCACATTGTAGGGGAAGTTTGTCACTTATTTTTTTATTTCCTTCTAATTACTTTCTATATTTTGCTTTGCTGGCACAAGGGCACAGTATTTGATTTGCTTGTGTTGCAGCAATCTTTACAGAAGACCTAAACAATATTTTACCAGTTAAATGGCCAGTCAAGACTAAATTAATACCATGGGCTGAACGGTGGTCTGCTGCAGAGCCCATCATGTGAGAAATTAATTTGAAATGCAAAGTGGGGGGAGGTTGTGGTGGATTTTTGTTGTTGTTGATATCAATATAAGTATCAGGCTGAAGGAAAACAAACACTTCTGCCTTGGCAGGGCAGCACAGAATCAGCACCTCAGGAACTCTGAGTCTACTGCTTATGAGCGAAAATTGGGTCAGACAACCTGGAATTCAGCATTTATAAGTTGCAAATAAAAATTTGGACTAAAAAATTGACGATCATGGGAACTATCTATCTGCACCTTGAAAACGGAAACAAAACATGCCTTTTACCCAGGGCTGAGGCTTTGGATAAGTTGAAGAAAATTTAATATTTTATGGGTTTTGTCCATCATACAATCCCTTCTCTCACAACAGGAATTTTCTCATGGTGTGGCATCTTGACTTGGACACTCTGGTGGAGATGCAGCAGCATTCCCATTAGGAACTGGCTTTCCAGTGTGGCACAAGTGGTAACAAACCCCCTGCACAACAAACCTTGGTACAGGGTCTCCAACTGGAGCAAGAAACTCCTCCTAAAGGGTTGAGCAATCTCTGCAAAATCTCTGCAAAGTCCTGAGCTGACCACGTCCCACCAGCTCGTTGGTGTCTGTGAAAGGACAGGCTCTGAGTTGATGGATTTGTCACCTAAGTGGATCAGACAGACCAAAGGGGAGCGTGAGGAAGTGTCATTATCCCTGTTCCATGGCCTGGGAGATGGAAGGCAGTTACTCATTGAAAGTCACACAATAGATGTGTGGGTGCCAGATGCTGGAGATGCCAGAGAAGGGATTTAAACCCAGATGTCCTGAGTGCCAGCTCATCACACTAAATTCAGAGTTGTCCATCCTCTCCAAAATCCAAGAACCTTTCTTATTGATTCAGTATTTAGAACATTTTGGCTGCCATAAAAGGATATTTCGCAGAACTCTACAACTTACTAATGCAAAAGACACCTTTTACTACGTCGTTCATCTCCTGTAGCATTGAAGAAATGTATCCATCTAGGAGGCAAGAGAATAACAACTGTGGTGACTTTTCAGAAGTGGATGTTCCATCACATCTGAGTGACTTGCCAGTAACACCTGAAAAGTCTGTGTTAGGAGAAATAAATCCAATCCCACTTGATACTGTAGTGATTTTCAGGTATCCGCCTTTAATATTTTGTTCCTCGGTTTTCCTCCAGTCTTTGATGCGTTTTTAAACATTACAGATCATAAAAATTTATTGTTTTCAGATTGATAAAAACAATTCCTTATGCTGGAATAAATGGAGCGTCTCTGGTGGATATAATTTAACTGATGTACAGCAAAGAACAAAACTTAAAGAGGAAGCCACTACCTTGGAAAAAAAGGGAAGGAGGTGGGGAATCTGTAGCTCTGAAGACTAAACTCTGGAGCATAAATTACAATGGAATTTTATGGAGTCTTTTGGATTAAATGAAAAGCCAGCCCCATTAAACCAAATGGAGCATTCCTAATCTGACATGTTGACAAGGACAACCCTGCCTATTCCAAAAGGGAGTTTCAAATGAATCCAGATTTATCTGATGTTCCCAACAGGGGCTGGGCTGACTCGAAAGGAAGTTATCCTGGCCAAAAATAAACAAGATGCACATGAAGCAGTTTGTGCCACCAGGAAACCTTCCAGGGAATATGCAGAGAGGAGAAGGAGAGCCAGGAGAATCACAGCCTAAGATGTCTTTCCTCTCTCCTCATTATGTCCTGTTTCTATTTCTTCAGAGAATGTAAATCAAAGCTTCTTCCCCATGAGACCCCTGGTCCTTCTATTCACTTTCCTGATCTTTGCTCACCTAAGAAGCTCCATGTGCTGCCTCTCCCCAACACTCCCTGCAGTCACAGGGGAGCAGCCACAGAGATGCTGTTCCTGCATCCACTGATGTTCATCCTCAGTTACTGATTCCTGGAGCCAACCAGCCATGCTTTTCCCAGGAGTGTGTGTACACAGTGTGAATTATGTAATTCTAGAAAGCAAATTTAGCCTTTTGCAGCTGCTTTTACTGTGGCAGACATGAAGTCACAGTCATTGCAAATAGCAGGACAAGCACCTTTTGCATTTACATTTTGTCAAACCAACCTTTTGATTTGCAATGAGGCCCCAGGAGATCTGCCCTGGAGAATTGAGATTGTTCAGCCTGGAGAAGAGAAGCTTTGGGATGACCTAATTGTGGCCTCCCAGTGCCGGAAAGAGCTACAAGAAAGATGGAGAGAGACTATTTACAAGGGCCTGGAGGGACAGGACAAGGGGGAATGGCTTCACACTGACAGAGCGCAGGGTTAGATGGGATATTGGGAAGGAATTCCTCCCTGTGAGGGTGGGAAGGCCCTGGCACAGGTTGCCCAGAGAAGCTGTGGCTGCCCCATCCCTGGAAGTGTCCAAGGCCAGGTTGGACAGAGCTTGGAGCAACCTGGGCTAGTGGAAGGTGTCCCTGCCCATGGCAAGGGGTGGAATGGGATGATCTTTAAGGTTCCTTCCAACCCAAACCATTCTGTGATTCTGTGATATCATCACTGCACCATGTCTGAGCACGGCCTGACGTGAGCTTTGTAATCCCCTGGAGCAGAGTCACTAAATTACATGTTTCAATGAGATCTATAACCCCAGAGACAGAGAACAGCTCCTTAATACAACAGCCTCCAAAGAGGCTTGAGCTCAAATACCCCTGCAGAGAACAAGGCTTCCCAGTGTTAGAGACAATATTGGGGAGTTCTACCTCATGCAACTGTACTTTTAAAGGAAATCCAAGTTTGTGCCCACAATAATGGTGTGTTCAGAGCTTCCTAACAGAGAAAAGTCTGTCTGGCTACGTGTGGACAAGCCCCCGTGCACACAGGAGGGAAGGCTGAGGAGTGTCTGCTCCCCAAGGCAGCTCTGGGGGTTCTGAAGCACAGACTGTGCACATGCAGGATGGAGACAGTGAGAGGATGTTTAGCAGTGAGGGCCAAGGGTTAAAATATGAGTCTCGGAAGGTCGTTTCATAGCCTGAACTATAGATTTCGTAGCAGTCTTAGTATTCTCTTAGCTGCATTTCAGAAATCAGAAATCTGCTCCAGAAAGTGTGTTGCCTTCCATCCATTTAACATTTAAATTTTGTGTGTGAATCTCTTGCATCAAAATGACAGCAGTGCTGTTTGTCCCTGAGCTGTGTCACTTGCTGTCCCCAGTGATAACTGTATGATAATGGCCATATTCTAGTAGAATGTGATACTTGAAAGAAATATTCTAAGAGAATTAAAAAAAAATAGATTACTAGTGCCACTTGCAGCAGTGAGAACATTTGCAAAGAGATAGGGCAGTATATTGCTGCAGTATAGAAAATTGTGGAAACATTGCACATAAACTAGAAAAGTGACAATCAGTGATTTTATGAATCCAATCAGTGATTTTATTCACCACAGCCATGTTGATCTTAACAGCAGTTTTAGGTACTGCCAAGGAAGAGTTTTTATCATATATATATACACATATATATACACACAGATAGCTATATTAATATATCTACATGAGTGGATAGATGTGTGTGCATTTATGTATAAAACCACACAAACCCACAATGTCTTGGTCTTGTCCTTCTGCTGTAATGTTTAACAAGTCTGGTAGAGATTTATTCTGATGATATTACAGCATATTTGCTACATGTACCAAGGGTTTTTTTTGTTTATTTGGGGTTTTTTGTGGGTACTGAGAAGTTAGTAGGCATCCGGGGTTTGGGGTTCAAGCAGATGCAAAAACTTGAGTCTGGCCAGGTCAAGATTTCAGCTTGAGAAATGTGAAATGCTGAGCTGGATCTCTCCAGTGGCTCTGAGACAGTGATTTTGCTCTTGTCTGCCTGTAAGATGTCTTTTGACTTGCTCTCAACCCTGGCTAGAAGCTCACATTTGAGGCTTTGGCTCTCCTTCCAAAGGGGAATATTTAGGCCAACACAGACACTTGAATCATGGGCAAGTTCCATTAAACGATATTGGAGACGTTTGTTTGTAAAACTATTTAGGACGGGTGGGATTAGGGATGGGTATCCCAGAGGGAGTAGGGAACCTGTGTGCCTGGATGAGGGAGCTCCTGCAACGCTGGGGATGGGGGACACCACCCCTACACTCCTGTCCCCAGCCCAGGGTGTGCAAACCTTGGCAGCAGCACATCATCCCCTCCCTGGGGAGGGAGGTGACTCACAGGGGTGTCTGAGTCACCGGGGCTTCCCCGGGGCGAGGCAGCACCGGGCACAGCGCCCTGCCTGGTGTGGACAGGGAAGGAGCTTCCACCTCCCCAGACCTGCAGGAGGAGCAACCTCCCTCCTGTGAGACCCGCACACCCGAGTAGCCACAGGTGACAAAGAGGATGGAGGTGACACATGACACGTGTAATATTCATTCTATGAGTTGTTTTTGTTGTATTTGCTTTGTGTTTCCAGTTCACTGGGGCCACAACCGGCGGCAGTTCCCTGCAGAGCCTGCAGTGATGTGAGAACAGAGAGGAGCAGTGAGTGCCTGTTGGGAGTGCACTGGGCTCCTGGCATCCTCAGCTGTTTTCCACCCACCCTTGAAAACCATCTCTGGCCCAAAATGGAACTGTGAGCTGTACCACATGCTCCAAATGAAGTGCTAATTAAATACTTCTACTTAATGTAGACAACATTTCTTTGAGAAGGCTGTAATGTATCGCAGATGTGGCGAATCCCTTGGAGAGCAGAGAAGGAGCAATGTGCACGTTGGATCCCTCTGTGAGGTAGGGATGTGACCTGGAGGGTTGTGATTGGTAAGCCCTAATGCTGAAACAGCACTTGTCTGATCCAAATTCCCACACACGTTCTCCACAGTGACCTTGGTAGCGGGAATACTGCAGGTGCTTCCATATGGATGCACACTCTGACACATGGGACATAAATGGTGGAGCTGTGGAGCTTGATGGGTACTTGAGTCTTAAGAAAAACAGGTAAGAACTGGTGGGTGTTGCAGAAAAGTCTCCTGGGTAGAGCCTCAGCCATGCAGGAGGAACTGGCAAGTGGTTTTTGGCTCAGGCTGTCCCAGTGCAGGACAGAGCTCCACAACAAAGGAGCTGGAAGGCTTTGGGTTTAGCACTAAAGCCCTTTCTGGCAAGAGGAGAAAGGCTGAAAACCCAGCTCTGGAGTATCTGGATGACTGTCCTGAAGTTATTGCCACTGAAATCATGGTTGTTCCTTAGGTTTCGGGGTCAGCAGCCAGCAGGCTCGGAAGAGCCACATCACCCAGCTTTTGGGAAATGCTGATGCCTTTAATGGACTGTGTGTTCAAGTCCATTAAAGCCTGGATCGCCCATAAGCAGCTTGCTGGCTGGAGTCCAGCTCTAGCTCTGTCTTGAGGGAAAGGTTTGAGCAAAATGGGTGCCTTTGTGCAGCCCCAGGCTCACCCCAGTGAGACAAAAACAGGGCTGTGAATTCAGGGGTTCTGTTTTCCAGTATGAATCCCAAACTGGGATTGAAGCACTTTGTATACCAGACCCAGATTACCACCAGGCCAATAACTAACCAAATGGACCTAAATTTGCGTGCACAGAGCTTGTCTCCATGTTCCTGTGCTCCTCACACACATGGCCTCTGCCTGCATGCAGGCTCTGACACCAAATCCTCTTGGCTTGTCTTGAGAGGGAGGAGATTTTCCTCATAATCCATAGGACTAGAAATCCACATTGTCCTTTCTGTGTCAGTTTAAACCTTTGAGTATCTGCCCATGAGCCACTGGCACTTTGTCCCAGGTCAGGATTCAGGGATGGGTCAGAGGGAAGGACCAGTGTGGACCAATCCTGCTTCCAGTGCCCAAAGTCTGCAGGTGAGATGGAGCCAAAGGGAGAGGGATGTCTGGTCACCTGGACAGTGCTGTTCCTATCACCCTCCCACACTGTCCCCAGCCCAGCAGCTCCTCCACCCCGGGCAGGGACATCTCAGCCATGCAGAGCTGAGGGGGAGCTGATTTCAAGCTGGGCAGTTTCTGAACAAATCACTTGCAAGGTGCCTGGTGGCTCGAAGTGCAGAATTAAGGGGGCAGCCACAGCTGTCAGTGTTTTGGGTAGATATTATTCACCTTTTGTGGGTGGGAAGGAAGTTCCAAGGTGGGCTTCAAGCACACAGAATTGCTTGGGCAGATGCAGAGGGCACTGGCATGAGCCTCCAGGGAACTGTGGTTGTCCTGTGTGAAGATACTCCAGGAGATACTGACCAAAAGCAGGCAAAAATCTTAGTTTTCAGAGTGACACAGCAATTAATTAGGACTGTCTTTGCTGTTCTTTTGCTGGGCCTGATGACAGAACAATATGGAGATACCTTCAAAGACTTTCTAATAGGAAATATACAGCATTTTCCTGTGTAGAGTATGAAAGCTGCTCCTGTAAAAAACCATGGAATATTCCGCATTTCTTTCAAGATGGTTCTGCGATGTTGGGAGTGCTTTTTAGGGTTCTGTGCTCTCTTGGGAGAAAAAGGAAGTAGAAATCCAAGATGATGCAGAAATAAGAAAAAGGGGGAAGAGAAAGCAGATGGTGAGGTGGAGAGCTTTCCTAAACTGAGCGCTGCACACTGAGGATGAGAATTCAATTGCCTGTTGCTATTTATCGTGACCACATAAAATTCAAAGTACTTGAGTATTTAAATAGCAATAGATTCAGAGATGAGTCATGAGGCAGAGCTGATATTTTATCCCTGGACATGTTGGTGAATGGTTTTCTAGTTCAAGGATCTTATTTCCACTTTCCCTATTTTAATGGCATTGCTGTTCTCAGATTATTTTGTTGTAGAGAAAAGGGAAAAAACGAATGCTTCTGAGGCTGTCTATTATTACAGACTTAATTATTTTCTTTTAAAAAGCACATTGGTACACTGTATTGCAGAGATATTCCAAGTTCTCACTCTTCAGAGATAATCAGGAGAGAGTTACCTTCTGACTCCTTCTGTAGAACACTTGGAGAGGAATTTTTGCTGCTGTTGGTGAGCAGGTCTCTGAGTCAAGTCTCATTTTGCACATCTTTTTTTTCCAAGGGACAATGTGTCATTTGTGTGATAGTCACTGCAGGCATCCTGCACAAGGGAGGGAACATTTCGGAGCGCAGAGAAGTCTATCCAGTGGTATAAACAAAAAAAACCAAAAAAACCAACCAACCAACCAACCAACCAACCAAACAAACAAAAAAAAAAAAAAAAAAAGAAAAAATCCTGCAAAGTTCAGTTCTGCATGTGGAAGTGGATCTGATTTTCACTTCTTCAAGTTTAATTCTCTTTGTATTTCTGGGTATGGCAAGCTAGAATAGGCTGAAATTTGTACCATAAATAGGATCATTCACATGAAATGTATTTTGATACAAAACGCTGTCTCTTGCCCAGAAGACAGGCAGCCCCTCCAGCCCTGAAATCATTTGTCCTGGTGCAGTGGTGGTTTTAGAAGAGTCAAGTTTGAGAGCAGACAGATCCTTGTCCCAAGGAAAGTGTTGCTGATGTTGGAGCCAGGGACCCCGAACAGAGGCTGCTTTTGGAAGAGGCATGTGGAGGGTTGTTAATGCTGGAGAGGGAACTGACTCATCACATCATCAATTCTGCTCCTCTGCCAGCGCAGCACAAAACATCTTTTATCATCACACTCTCTCTTTCTTCTTCTTTTCTATTTTAAAGGAGTTTAAAGCTGTTCAGTCTCTTGTCTTCCCCTTCCCCAGCCTGTTGCTGTTCTCTGGATGGTGGTTACAGTTTGGGGTGATGGAGCCCCTTTGCCCTGTGCAAGAGGACTCTCCCCATCCAGGCATTCTCAAGGACTAGCCAAAAGATGGATTTCCTGGCTAAAGCTCTCACTCCTCATGCTGAGTTGCACACATACCCCTCAGATGTAAGGAAACTAAGCTTTCCCATCTGAGCCCTTTTTCTTTGCCTTAATCCCTGCTCCCTCTGTTGCAGAAAGCTCTGTTTATCTGAGAAGGGACAGCAGGAACACTCTGGCCACGTAATTGCCACGAAGGCTGCAGCGGGTCCAGCCGGTACCAGTTTGAAATGATATTTTTCGGGCCCGTGCCAACAACAGGCGGCTGCTGGGAGAGCTGAAATTGCTGCTTTTCTGCTCACATCTGCCTTTGATTTTCAATCAGAGCTGGTTGGTGAAAAGCCAACTAATCTACAGTGCTTAGGGGGTTTTTTTGTTTGTTTTTAAGGGGCTGGTTTGAGCCAACTTTAGTACCACAGAATTAGTTTTTAATAGATTTTCTTTTTTTTTGCCCTGAATTATAAGTATTTTGGATATAGAGTATTTGAAATGGATCTTATGGGAAAATTATTATTCACTATTATTTCTTTGTATTTCTTGTGTATGACTTAAGGAGGGCCAAGACCTTCCTATAGCAGGAGCAGACAGAGCACAGCAAAATGGCAAATCCAGTGGGCTCTCATGGAACCAGGGATGCAGGGAGATGGTGCCTCCACTTCATGCTCTGGAGCCAGGGAACCTGAAAAGTTTGACTTTTCTGAGAATTCAGAGAGGAATTTCCACAGTTTTCTGTGGAAACTTCTGGCATTTTGTTTGGGCTGGTGTCACATCCTCTTCCATTTGCTGCTCTTGTGGCAGATGAGGAATTGGCTTTGTATTGAAGATACATGAAAAGTCACTGCTTAATCAGGAACTTCAAAGGAACTGGAAAAGGATCCATCTGTGATTCAGCCATCTTAAGCTTTAGGGGACAAGTCTGGTACGAGAAAAAAAAAAGAGGAAAAGGTCTTGGATTACAGAGTTTTCACTCTTTTATGACAGTTTTTCTGTGAATTACAGTAACAGAAAGTACTGGCCTGTAACTAGCACAGTTTATTGCTTGATGGCCTTTATTTATCCAAGCCTTCATTTGATATGTAACTCACTTTGAAAACAATTTTTAAAGTTGGGCATACAGTTACTGTTGCAAAATGCTGAATTAATAACCCTCTGAAACAGCAGTTTCCTCTTAATGTGGGGAGCACTGGCTGGGTGAGGCAGAGAGCACATTAATCACACTGACAAAGAAATAACATAAAAGGTAAAACCAACTAATAGAACACAACAGTTGCACTGTGAACCATTAAGAGTCACACCTTGGTGCTTTTTACCTGTATTTTAATGTGTGCTAGTGCAAAATCAGTGTAAAAATCCACCTTGGTCAGCCTGGGTGTGTTACATGCTCTGCATTATTATCCTTCTATGTATATTTTCTATAGCTGGTGATTTTTTTTACTAAAGGTTAAGTTTTAGTGATGAAAATCCATGAGCCCCATCCTTTCTCTACCAGCATTGATGCAATAGTTTAGCTTGTTAGAGAATGGGTTTAAATAGTTGAAAATAACAACTGTGTGTTTGTTGAGCAAAGTCCAAACCCCAGGAGCCCTTGATTTCTTCTGCTATATGGCAAAAGCTTGAAAGGCCCCTTAATAACGGATAACCCAGTGCTAAAATCCATAATTTCTTTTTGGTTTGTTGTCTTTTAGCCATGAGAGATTGTAACTGCAGGGACAGGCTCTTCTCTGCCTTATGTGGAAAGCAGAACACAGAGAATTTTAAATCTTTACACATTTCAGTCTTTGTGGGACATTTTTAGGGAGCACAGAAGTGGTGGTACCTCTGTGGTGCCTAAAAACCTTGATCTTGGTATGGTTTGTGCTTATGTCCAGTATATTCACCTGCATATCTGATCCAGGCACCAATGTAAGCTGAGTAATTTTAGGCTTTTAAGGGTTTTAATTGAAATTTCTTTCCTTCCTCCATGCTTGGCCTTCAGCAAACCGGGTTTCTTTTTTTTTTTCAATTCTTTTTTAAGGAAGGAAGGAAAAGTCTTGAACTTGTGTTGGGCTGATTTTGTTTGAACAGAGCCCTGTGTGTTACCCCCCAGCACACAATGGGGCTCTGTCCAGGGAGAGTTGGCTGAGTGGGTCCTTATTCAGGGTCATTCATCACCACAGCTCATGCAGACGTGGCAGATTTACATCAGTGAAACTGAGGAGGGAAAACAACAGGCCCATGATCTGAAGGAAGGGCTGGAGTTATTTATGAAGTGCCAGCAACGTGCTGAGGACCAGATGAAGATCTGACCAGCCTGGCTCTGCAGAGGTGCTTGGTGGCAGGGTGACATGTCACCCAATGCTGCAGGGAGGAGGAAAATGTGTTTGACAACTCAGGGCTCCTCACAGGCACAGGGTAGGGTGTGTTTTGGACATCTTGGGAAGATGGGACGTGTGGGAAGTCACTCTAATGATGCGACTTTTCTATAGCCAGTAAAATTATTTAAGGGAAATAATGTTCATGTTGCACCTGCTTATGTGAAGCCTCAGGAGGCTTCACCTGTTCAGGAAGCAACAGGGACAGCTTCAGATCCCACCTCACTCATATTTGTCCAAAATAAATGCCAAAAACATCAGAGGGGATGCAGAGGTGGATGGGGAATGTGCTTCTTGGAGTCAGCAATTCCTCCTGCTTGAGAGGCTCAAATCTACACCTTCCCTGGTGTCTCTGTGCTGTGTTTCAGTGAGGGACCAGCAGCAGCTCTGAAGTTGTTCCCCAGGAGCCCAAGCCCAGGCCAGGCTCAGTCCAGCTCCAGGAGCATCCTCGGGATGGGCTGGGTGGGAGCGGGATGTGCAGTGTCCTCTGCTTGTTCACAAATCTTCTACTTTTCATGGCAATATTCGCTCAGCAGCCAATTGCCAGGTCATGAGGAAGCCTTCTCCCACTCCCTGTGTCCTGGTGGTTCTTGTTAGAGGAGAAATTGCATCTCTTGGCACTGCTGGACATGAGAGCTGCTCTGGTTTCCGAGGCATTGCTTTTCGGTGAGTGTCTCCAGCTGCTGCTCTCCCCTCACCCAGGGCACTGACTCATCTTTTTGCCATCACAATAAGTCTGTTTTCATAAACAAAATTAAGTGCACTGTGTTTATTCATTAGGGAGATTTGAAGTCTCTCAGCAACCAAGTTCATACATACTTTGTGTATGAACTCTCCCTCTTCCCCCTCTTCTCTTTTAACAGCTAAGGGGAAAAAAAAAGATTTGGGAAAACCCAGTGCTCTCACTGGGTGGTTCTGTGTCTGCTGATGGGCAGCATCTCCCCTGAGGGCTATTATCTGTCAGCTGGATTTGTACATCTTGGAGGGGGATATTTAAAATTACACAGAGATGAATGGGGAAAAAATGGGACAGGTGAATGAACTGGGCTTTAAACAACACTTCAGGTAAGGACAGTACAGGGGAGGGGTCCCAGGGTAGAGAGAGAAGCTTGTCTGGCACCTGGATGACTCTGTGTCAGAGGCTTTCTTACAGGTAGTTTGGGCCACTACTGGGCATGGACAGAGCCAGGCATGGCAGGTTTCCTGATGTCCCTGTGCCAGAGCCCTGGTGGCACAGCCAGTGCTCTGCTGTTCTCTCTGCTGTGTCATCTCACCCCAGCCTACCCCTCTCCTTCCCACAGCTGGATCCAGCCCCTGATCCTGAGGGGGATGAAATCCAATTTGCCTCCGGTGCTGACAGGTTTTCAGCCGGATCTGCAGCCAGGTAAGAGGCTCCTGCAGCCACACCATGCCAAGATTCCCTCTTTTTGGGTGTCACTCCTCCCTGCTGCCAAGGCTCCTGCAATTCCTGCTGCCTGGGATTACTGAGGCATCAGTGCCATTGGTAGAGTCGGAGGGGAACAACGAGGGAAGCAGCAAAATGGGTCAGGTATAATGTCAATACACAATGGGGGCAACTCCAGCCTCTAAACCAGCAAGGTCTGGGTTTGAGCAGTGATTAATAAACCCATGTTATTACAGGGTAGAAAATATACCTTGAATTTCTGCTCATAACAACTACTCAGTGACTTCCTGCTTAGTATGCAAATGTTGTACCCATTGAAGTGGAAATAAACCTGGAATTTGCTGTCTTTGCAGCAGGATTTCAGCCATTCTTGAAGTCCCACTTTCTACCACATAACATAAATGAAGTGAATACCTTTCACTTCTGCTTTAGAGGGATCCATAAATCAGAAACAAAGGACAGATGAAAAACAGGCTGGTGTTTCTCCTAGAGCAGCAGGAATGCTGTGCCAACAGCAACAATGTCAACGTGACCTGCGGTTTCCATGCCAGATGATTCCATGGAACTTGAGGCTGCTCACCTTCCAGGGAGCCAGCCCTCACCTGCAACACTCAACCTCCCTCAGGGGTCATTCCTGGGTATGAGGTGCTGGCAGCCACCTCAAACCTCATGAATTTGGGGGAGCAGGGCTGTGGGTATTGATGAGGGCTCAGACTTCTGATAACCGGGTTTGTGCCTGGTTGTCATCGCAGCTGCTGTGCAAACACTGGTTAAACACAGAGCTGCTGTGAGTAATAGAAAAGGCCTCATCCCTGACCATCACCCCCTGCCTGCTGTGTGGGACACGGGAGCGGAGATCAGCCCAGAAAATTCCCTGCTTTCTTTGGAGGGAACCAGGCAGCACAAGGTGAACCAAACTGCATGGAAGCCTGGAAAACCAAGATTTTGGAAAAGTGCATGTGTGTGTGTTGGGGGGTAACAGCTTTGCCTGGCAGTGCCTCGGCTGTCCTTGGCTGTGAGAGTGGGGAGGATCAGAGTGGCTGTGACACCTGCTCACAGCTCAGCCGTGACACGGTGCTGGGTGGGAGGCTGGGATGTGAGAGGGTGCAGCACGTGCTGCTGCTGCCATCAGGACCCTGCCTCCCTCTCCCCAAATGCTGGCCACCCTGGGAAGGGTTTTCCATGGCCAGCCCATCTCCTGCTCCCTCTGGGGGGTCTCTCAGGTGGGTCCCTGCCCCGGGGCTGCAGTGCAGGACCAGCGCTGAGCTCAGCTCCCTGCAGATGGCACTGATATCCTGTGCAGCAGCAAACCTTCCCTGCATTTTTCCCAGACTTTTTTTCTTGCTAGGGAAAACAAAAAAAGACACAACCCTCCATGCAGTATAAAGAGCACATTTTCTATAAACTTTGCTTGGCCCCAGCCTGCAGCTGAGAGGGAGCGGTGCTGTTGTGAGGCAAAGTGTTACACTGCCCATTCCCACACCAAAACCTAGAAAATCATGGAATTACTCAGGTTGGAAAAGACCTTTAAGATCAGAGTCCAACTCTTAACATAGTGCTGCCAGTGTAAGATACGCGGTCACAGCTCAATTTCATTTATTCCTTCCATTTTTTTCTCATGGTATAAGATCTTTTTTAAAGGTAAATGAAGCCAATATGGTTTCTTGTAAGAGCCCTGTATAGAAGCCAGAAAGAATCCTGATTTATAGAACTGAGCTTAGAATTGGAAAAAAGAGTAAGGAAAGAAAGGTGCTCCTGATTGAACTGGTCACTGGAGAGTTAAAAGGGAAAGGTTTCTTACCCCACTTTTCGTTTAGTGAAGCCTAATATGAAAAAGCTTAGAAATTAAACATCAGCTGGGCTTTGATTTCAGGGGTCTGCTCATGCTGATATAAGCAGGCAGCTGAGAAGGCTTTCATGACACTGCTCACATTTCAATAAGGTTAAATAAAGGGTCCATGAAAAATACACTCAGGCCAACTTAAACCTTCAGGTCAAGCCCAGGGGTACAAGGAGTTAAACTGCACTTTCTTACTGCTGGTTTCTTACCAGGCACAGCCCAGCCCTTAGAGCAGTTAACAACACCTAGAAATAACTTCTTTAATGGCATGAAATCCCAGAGTTGTGCATGACTGATGCAGCTGGCTGGGAAGGGCTGCCGTGCTTTCTGCTTGGTTTCTGAGGAAAACAAGGCTGGTATGGTGAACGCTGGCTGCTCCCACAGCCCATCCCCAGCCTGAGAGCCCATTTCATCCAAACTCCCCAGGCAGAGCAGAGCTCTCATGGGCAGTTAGGCAGCTAATAGACTGCAAAAGCCCAGAAAAATACATCCTTTTACTGTTTGTGTGTATATCTGAGTAACAGATAATGTTTTTATTTTAGTGACTGCCCTCCGAGCTCTGGGCTGCCTCTGAACTCTCCCTCTTGATTTCAGCTATAATTTCAGTGGTCTGCTGAATAAAGAGGTGCCTTTGTACTGCAGTCACCTCCAATGCCTGGCTTTGGCCCATTGGTGTGCATGCAACTCCTGCCAGCCTCTCCCACCACCTCCTTCCCCTGGGTTTTTAGGGTAAGTGGTTGCTCACAATCTCAGCAATTTTGCTGTGCCAGCAGTGTTGCCCTTGAGGTCAGTAGGAGCCCAAATCCTCTGCTGTGGCCTTCCCTTCCTAAATAAAACTAATTCAAACCCCTCTATAGCATGGGTTCACTGAAATGATGAGTTCACAGGAGCAGATGGTCCAACTAAGGTCCAGGGATAGGGAAGATAAGGATGGTGTGGGGTGGGAGCTCATCTTCCCTGTGAAGCTCCCTTACAGCAGCCTGGTTGAGCTTGGCCACCTGAGCAAGCCAGTGATGATGTATTTAGAAAAGAATCTGGTATGAAGCTGAAAGGCAGCTTCTTAAATTGCCTAAATTACATTTGTATTCAAAAAAAGAAAAAGAAGTTGTAAATCGCATATTTACACAACAGAGCACGCGAGCGAGAGAGGGCTCATACGAGACCCAGATGTTCATTAGAAACAGGGATTGTTCTTCCTTGCTGCTACCCTGAAAACTGGGAAAAGAGTCAGCTATGTTGAAGGGTTACAAAGGAGGGAGTTAAGTCTACAAAATCCAGGAAATTTCCCGTTAAGACGAAAAACCTGGGGTACTGTTGTAGTCTTTTAATTCCGACCCAAGACATAAATTAAAGCCAGAGGATCGGGTCAGGTGCTCGGGTTCTCAGCCCTTAACTGTGGAATTTCCAGGTTAAGTTACTTAAACTTTCCTGTTGCTGAATAAAGCTAAAATCCTGTGTGCCATATATTTGCTCATCATAAAATGTTCTCTCCCAGCCAGTAACAGCTTCTTTGTTGGCGAGGCCTGTCTGGTTTATGAGCTTCCCAGCCTTTGTACAGGGTTCTGGGAGTTAAGAACTTCCACATGGTGCCTGCTCCGAGGCTTTTGTGAATAAGCAAAGCAAAGCGCTTGCTCCATGTCCAGCAAATGCATCAAATATGGTTTGAATTCTCTGGTTTTAAATGCAAAGGATAATATTGATTTTGTTAAGGTAAATGTCTTTAATTGCACACTGGATAAACTCGCCTCTTACTGAGGCATAATGGGCTCTGGGCACCCTTCCAGCACAGCAGTATGAAAATGTCTCTTTTAGTGTCTCCAGTAGAGAAATGCAGGATTAGGATTTAGATGAACAACAATGAAATGGAGTACATCCCCAGCCTCTGAAAAAGCATCTACTGACGCAGAAGGACATTTACTCAGATAGAAATTAATTCTTTATTAAGGTAGAAAGTCTGCAGCACCTGTTATGTGGACTGTTTGGGGCTTTTTATTGGGATGGTGGGAATAGAAAATCAAAAGAGGTGAAAATAGACAAGAAGAGAAAATGAAGAAGTTCATAAAATTGTCCCTGTATGACTCGATCTATCTCATCTACAGAACCTGAGTGGGATCTTGATGCAAAGGGGAACTGAGCAACTCATTAAAGAAGAAATATTCTGTACTCTGACATCCTTATGCACATCCCACTTGTGAGTATTTAGGAGGATGACAAGGACATGAAGACTATCAAGTGGGTGACTCAGCCCCTTGATATTAGTTTAGCAAAGGCAATAAAGGTGTTTAAGAACAGACCAAACACTCTTGCAGCAGATGATGCCCTTTCATTTATTGCTAATCTACCATATTACAAGCAATATATAAAAATATTTTACAGATAGAAAAAAAAATCATTACATTGGAGGTTAACAACGTTGTTGCAGGAATGTGAATGACAGAACCCCCTTTTCAGTTGTGGAAGTTAGGTTTTTGAACTAGCAATTTGATTCAAAAGACATCTGTTAGGGTGACTTGAGTGACAAGTGCTCACTCCTGTGTCTGTCAACATATGGCTTTACCTGAACATCCAGGGCAGGGCTCCAGGGGGTGTTGGACTTCGGGGGGGGAATCACTTCAGAATTACACACACACACTCAAACACACAGATCTGTGAGTCCCAGTCAGGCCATCACTGTTCATACTGAGCTGTCCCTCCACTCCCCGTTGGTCTCACACCACCTGTGCTCCAGGTGCTGCTCAGCACCACTAAACTGAGGGCAGCTCAATCCTGGAACAGCTGAGGATTCCAACAGCATATCTGTGGATTTCTGGGCTCTTACAAACACATAAATCACTAGTCATTTTTGTGACAGCCATTGTAGAACTTTCTACTCCATTTTGCTATTTTATGGGAGTTATTGACAAAGAACTCAAACCACCATTCCCCAGATAACCACTCTTTTTGCAGCTGATATCATCTTTCACAGCATCAGCACCTTCATTTGAAATTTACTGCAATGTGGGTCAGGGGCTAAGTCATATTTTTTTGCACCCCAGAAACAATAAAAATGGCTAAACAAACCTTAAACAGCCCAGAGTGGGTTAGACACTGACAGGCAGTTTAACAAATCGCTATCAGCTGCCACCCACTGCACTTATAAAGGAGCAGATATTAAAGGTACAGATGTCAATCTTATGGCAAACATACAAAAAGGTGGATTGTTCATTCTGAACTGAGATGAATAAAGAATTACAACCTTCCATGTGTGACAGCAGAGCGTTGCCTTACTCTTACAGGTAAGAAACCACTGCAATGTAAACGATGAGGAATTTGCAATTCAGCCCATCTAGACCCAACATCAGCATCTCTTCCTATTGCACAGGAATGTGGAACATAAATAACAAACACTCAGAATTGCAGATAAACTGGAACGTCAGATGACTTTAAGTGGTGCAAAAATTACGAGGATCTGAATCAGTTTAAGATTTGAAATTAAGACAGTCATTTTCTGGAGTCCCATCTGGCAGATAATTGTTCCCTATTAAGTAGCAATTTGGAAAGAAATGCAGGGGGGAAAGTCAGATTGAAATATTTAGAAACATATTTCTCAAGCATTTAAAGCTCTCTTTGAAGTCTTTGGGAAATCTATCAAATATATGGGTTTTTTAAGACGGTAACAATTCAACAACAATTGCATAGAAAATTAAGACATTGAGAAAATGAAAATCGATCCTTTATAAATACTAACCTTAATCCAAAAAGTGTTGCATATTTGGTCAGACAAAAAGCATAGTCACTTTTTTGTAAAGATATGGACTACAAAATATACTTTAAAAACATGCTAGCTACTCTGAGAACTGGTTTAGATATGTTATCAAGCAGCAGCTTTTTATACAATAGAGAATAACATAGTGCTGGTTTGGGAAATATTCTACATTCAGAAAATGCTGTATTCCTACAAGGAGCATGGAAGTGATACATATTTACATGGATACAAATAAAGCAAGTGCAAAAACCATGACTCTTCTACATTCTTTCTACCATAAAAACACATACATGAGACACTTTCACTCCATTGTTGTTGCTCAGATCTTACATTCTGCTCATTCTCATGGAGAAAAACAAAAACAGGACTTCATATTTCATTGCAAGTATCTTCACAAGCAATTCCCCTCCTGGCAAACTCGACTTCCAACACTCATAACTGACAAAAAAAAAAATCTTCCTGATGTCTGTCCACTCCCAGTCCACTCTCAGACTGTTTACATATCATGAATGATGATTTTTATTCTACGTATATTTGATGCAGAAGTTTATAGAAGCTCATCCTGTATTCGCAGCCAAAGCTTGGATGGAAAAATGAAAGTAAAAAAAAAAAAACACACGCACACACACACACAAAAAGAGATGAACTTTTGAGTTCCAACGAGCCCCATGTACTTTGCATGGTGTAACTTTGATGGAAAACGCATTAGAGTTGTTCACCCTGTAGACAAGATATTTGTAGGCCTTTGGTACAATGGCAGGAAGGCACTGTGGTGAAACATTCAGATAACTGAGGAAAGACAGAATTTCCTCATGTGCAAATATGGCTATCTTCCAGATAAAGTGAGAACAAATTACTCACAAAATGGTATTAACTCTTCCAAGGTTAAGCTCATGTTTCTACAGAAAGAGAGCAAGTTGTATTAAGTAACAAAAATATTAATACTGAAAAAACACTGCTCAGCAAGAACAGGAAATAATTTAGTACTGTATATTTTGAAGTTCCTCAGCCAAGCTATATAATTTTAATGTATCAGTTTTCATTTTAAAAAGAGACAACAACGCATAACACTGTCTGAGGATGCTCCTTTTCTCCAGAAATAAATACAAAGTTGGTTAAAGCTGTATTATTTAACTATTGGTTGCACATAAAAGTAGATAGGGCAGCACAGCCTGACCTCATGTAGCTGTAAATAAAACCACTAAAATGTAGTCTATAGTATGTACATGGTATGAACCCTCAGTCCTGGCTCCATGTGCTGCTCACACGGGGCTGGAGCCAGGACAGGATCGTGACCCAGCATTGTAATGGGGTTGTGTGTGTTCATATAAAATCATATTTATACAATGTACCCAGATAGACGAGGGAATCAAGGAATGGTCTGGGTTGGAAGGGACCTTAAAGCTCATCCAGTCCCACTCCCTGCCATGGGCAGGGACACCTTCCACTAGCCCAGGTTGCTCCAAGCCCCATCCAACCTGACCTTGGACACTTCCAGGGATGGGGCAGCCACAGCTTCTCTGGGCAACCTGTGCCAGGGCCTCCCCACCCTCACAGCCAAGAATTTCTTCCTAATATCCAACCTAAAACTACTCTGTCAGTTTGAAGCCATTCCCCCTTGCCCTGTCACTTCAGGCCCTTGTAAATAGCCCCTGTCTATGTGGGTATATTATATAAACTACATGTATACGCACCTGCACAAACACACAAACAGATTAATATCTATGCATTAAAAATGAGGAAGGAATATAGCTAATGCAAGAGCAACAAAAGCAGCTGTAGCACATTTTAAAAAAAAAAAAAAACCAAACTCCAAACACTCTCTCCTCAAAAACAAAGTGCCTGAAGGAACATATAAGCACAGTGGAAATGTACGTTTTGGTTACAGAGCCCAGGTGTCCTGGGTGTATCCTGAACAGGAGTTCATGGAGCACTGCAGGGGCTCAGGGGTTTGCCTACCTGGGGCCCTCTGACCACTGAAAAGCCTTTGCTAAGAGTCCACAACCTATTTTGCATGGCCAAATGTTGCAGCTTTCAGCTATTCTTTCCTTTTGTGATGTATTAAAAGGACATTTCAGCATCTACTATATGTAAGGCAGAACTTAACCCTTGACTTTCCTGTTTGCTCATATCCAGCACTAGATTTTCCTTTTTTCCCTTCTTTTCTTGACTGATATTACTGTAAAAATAAATATGCAAAAAATTATACTCCTAAATTGATGAGCAGTTGCTACAATCACCAAATATACTTACAGACAGCATCAGCACACCTACAGATCTTAAAAGACCTTTATATTCTTGAGATTCTATTTAAAATCCAGCAAAGGAAAAGGTTCTGTCAGTTCTTTGGGATCTTCTGGTTTTCTGTGAGTGGGTTTTTGGTTTATTTGCTTGTTTAATTGTTTTTAAATTTCTCCTATACTTTACAGGTTGGACCAGGGAAAGATATGTTAATACTTCCAAGTGTGAAACTGGGAGACACATTTGGTCTGTTCTTTTACTCAGCTGCAGCAAAAAACTCCTGACAGGGAACTTTTGGTCTTTAGAATATGTCCATCAGACTGCATTAAAAATCCACTATGTCTGTCAGATTCTGGCACACTGACAGTCTTAAAACAATCCAAAATAGCTTATTTGAGGCATGTGAGCCAGTCAAAGTGCTCTGTGAGCGCTGTTTAACAGTAATTCCCCTGTGCTGGAGTCCTTTCAGCTGGTCTGGGCCTCAGTTTTGGTTCTATAAAAGTCAGCAGTAAAAAAAGAGGCCATTTTCACCTCTGCAGGTACAGGCTGAGGCTGGGCCATCTCACCAGTCATGCTGCTGCAACGTGTGGAGCTCACAACATGAGCACCAGAACTGAGGCAGCCAGGGAGTTTTTGGTGTTGCTGAAATGGGACACGGGGGACTCATTCTGGGACAAAAGATTTGAATCTCACCAAGTGGAAACAGAAGCCAAGTCCCCAAGGTGTGTTATTAACGCCAGGTTTTGATGTGCAGGGCTCTGCTTGGGTTCTGGAGCCAGGCTGGGCTGAATCCAGAGTTTAGAGCTGCTCTTGTGAAATTCAGATTTCTGTTTCAGATCCAGACCTGTTGAGACCCACGTCAGGTGTTCTGGAGAGTCCAAATCTGCCTCCCACTCTAAACCCCAAGACCTTGCAGAGTTTAAGCACCAGCTTTTAGTGGTAGAAAATACAAACTCAATACTCACAAAGAGATTTTGGTTGGACTGAGCACAAACTCTGCAGGGATTGTGCAAGATCTGTCTTGAGCCATTGGGGAACCAACTTTGGGGCTGCTCTGCTGCATTCCCATAACGTAATTCCTGCTGTGAGCACGTGGACACGCTGGTATTCAGCAAAGTTTACCGGGAAACAACCGAAAACAGGATTAATTTCACTGCGCTTTTTAGAACAGAGAGCAGGCTCCACACTCCTAAAGGTATCAGCGTTCCTCATTTTTAAAACCTATTTCCTAAAATATTATGGCTGTTTTTTACTGCACATGGATTATCCACTCAGGATGTCCTTTTATCCCCCTGTGGAGGCACTGACACTCCAAAGTGTTCTGACTTGTAGATGTACAACTGCAGGTGGCAGCGGTTACCTGGTATTGTGATAAGCAGTGTCAGCACAATCTATTCTAACACATGAAGCAAAACACAACAAAATACTAACTCACGTGGAAATGTAACTTTTCCAGAGATTGCTGGTAGCTTTGCAAAGCTAAAGAGACAAGGTGAATATAAGTAAGTGTATATTTTTTATGGAATGTATGGCTTCTGTAGGATGCAATTATTTTCCTCTGCAGCTTGGGGTGATTAAATGTTCCAGCTGCTAAATGAGACAATGAGACAAGTTACAGGCCAATAGCGGGTTCTACATGAAAAGAAACAGCAACAGTTTGTTAGAGAAAAAATATCTAAGTTGTGTTCATACACTGCCTAAATATTGATAAGTATCAGTCATAAAATCTTTGGATTTACTGTGACTCCTAGATATTAATCTCTATTTTATCTGCCTTTATTTTACCTCGGGACAGGTGTTGCAACTGCTGAATTGTTCTTCTTCACTGGTTCTCAGTGAGAATCCCTCTCCTTCAAATTCCTATCCAGTCTGACATGAAAAATGAAGAAAACTCCTGGATTCAGCTGACATTTACTGTTTGAAATACCAATCACAGTGCTCAGAGTCAGAAAAAAATGGCTTTTGATCCCAGGTTGGATAAAGGCCGAGTAAGCTCGGGTTGCCTCAGTTTCCTACAATAATAGAATTTCTCAGAAGGGCTTTGAGACCTGGAGGGCAAGTCCTTGCTAGTGACCTGCAAATCATGTTATTCTTTAATGGAATATATTACTCTTTCTTCCCCCATTTCCCACCCCACCCAAATAAGCTCTAATGCACGACCTCCCTTGCTTTGTGTGGTTCAGGAGTGACAGATCACTTCTCCCTCAGCACTAAGATAGATCAATACATAGATATTTTGCAGCAGGCTTGAAGTGTTTCCTCAGACAGATGCTCTGTTACATGAGAACAATACAATCTTTGGAGGAAAGGAAGGGTGTCCTTCTCGGTGTTTACAGAGAGAGGTGGCAAGTTGCTTAGTCAAGGCTGTCACTTG